TGATGATGATGATGATGATGATGATGATGATGATGATGATGATGATGATGATGATGATGATGATGATGATGATGATGATGATGATGATGATGATGATTATTACCATCAATATACTCCACACATAGAAATCAAAACTGCACGCATGTACTTGTAGTATGATAGCTTTTAAAACTGATAAAATCATAGGCTACTACAGGAAACAAAATGTGAATCATCGGGGTGAAATCAGGCGCTCGTCAAAATAATGAAAGTGAAGAAACATACACTTTTCCGCTGGTTTGGCAATTTTTATCGAAATTTTGTATTAGCTCAACACCTTCTATGTCCATTTAAGAACCTCTTTCAGTGTGAATTATATTGAAATATTAAAGGCATAAAAATGTAAATTGTCAGTGTCCACGGACTCTGAGGCTTTGTAAATAACCGAACTTCGGCGGCCATATCCTCACTAATTTTACCTCTGAAACCAGGCGACCCCACTTCCTTCATTCACAAATATATCTCGACTTTTTAAAATCCAAAGCAAGACAAATCAACAAGCTTTAAGATGATACCAATAACTCTACAAGGCCAAAAATTGACGAGCGCCTGATTCCACCGCGTCGTGACACAAATATTTCATAGAGTTAACCGAGACAAAAAACAAAACAAACAAAAAACCCAAAACAAAACAAAAGCACGAGGACACCTGAAATCACTCATTATTTTAGTCAGAATTACCTGGAGCCACTGTGGTGGTGGCTGGTAGTATCGTGGTAGTAGGTGGGGGTGGGGGTGCCACAGGCTTTTCAATGCAGATCTTGAATTGGCCTCGACAACCGTTCTTGACGTAAAACCTGGATCCGCTGAAACCATAGTCAGCCTTCTTGTGGCAGTAACCGTAGCTGGTAACCTTCTGTAGCTTCATGGAAGTAATCTTGCCGTTCGCGTACTCGTCCGTGTCCTTTAGTACGTAGTAGGTCCTGCATTTGATTTCTGTTTTAGGAGCAGAGAGGACAAAAAGACAAAAGCTTGGGTTGGAGTAATAAATCATTCTGTACTATTCTCTGGCCAACATGAAATGGATAACTTGTCGAACTTATTACATCGAATCTCAGTGGCGAATTGCTCTGAATTTTTTGCCAGCGTCTATGAATTCTAAAAGACGTTAAAAATCCCGATGTTCGTGCATATGCGACAAATATAAAGAGGTGCTGTCTATATAGTAATTAGTAATTAGTTGCTCATTAAACGCAACACCGCGCACTATTTATAGCAAGCACGGTGCCATGCTAAAAACCATAACAACAAATTATGATGCTGTGATAACATGTTCACTGGGGACAATTTTTTTTCCGTGGGGATCTTGAAAATTACCGAAAAGGTTAGATTTGTAGATGTCGAATCCTGTACAACTGGGTTAGATTTTTGTCAGATTACTAGGGAGGGACTTGGCGTCTTTGTCATTCAGTTTCCCTAAAATCGGGTAAAGGACGTTTACACCTGATTGACAGTCCATTCTACACTAATAACTTTTTTTAATGTGGAAGATCGGGGGGGGGGGGGGGGGGGGGGGGTGGTATTTTACCGACCTTACCTTTTTCCATAAAAATATTGTTATTAATTTGTCTCAAGTGCACCTCAAAGGACATTGACTTAGGCCTACGGAGGCGTAATTAGTTCGACTATTCCGTTTTTGTGTTCCAGCTTCACGTTATTTTCTAACAAAGATAAAGATGAAAAAACGAGACCACAGGCACAGTTAGACGGATGCGTGATTTCGAGTAATCTGTGTTCGACCTGTCCGGATTTTACTGTAGTTTGTTTGTTTTTTTGGTTCGCCCTTTAAATCACGTCTTCTGCTTGTGATGCCAAAGTGTACATCCCAGATGCCTGTTGAAAAGCTCATAGTGAGGTCAAAAGGTGATACTTAGAACAACGACAATCTCTTAGATAACCCTATTGTTAGAACTAGGGGAGAAAATAAAACACTTCACGCTAGCAGAACATAAACAAAATCATCCTCTCATTCGTGTCCCCCCTTTTTTTTTCTTCGGAGAAGAAAAGATGTGGTGGGGGTAAACGCTACCACCTAACTAATGAATCAACATTGCCAAGGTGGGGTGGTAAGATCAGTGATTAGAATGAAGAAGGAAGAAATAATACAAACACAGAACGATAATCCCCCCTCAAGGGGATAAAATCTCGTGCTTAATTCCATCACAGATGGGGCGCACTCCAAGCTTTTACCAAGTCTGTTTATTTATTACTCAATGTTTTCTTTGCGATGTTAATTTGATGTGTATGTTATACGTCTTTGTGCTGGGCAAAGGTGTGTAGACCACAACAGCAAACTCCATCCTGAAGAGGTGATGCTCGCTGAATAATCACGCCATGAAAGCAGAGATGTCCACCGTTACTATCAACGGCAGGGTCCTGAAGCGTGAGCACTCACTGAGGTATCAAACTGTTACACTCGACAGATCATCCTCAGGTAAAGATCACATAACTAGGAACGTCACAAGAGCCATAAAAAGACTGACTAAACTGAAAACCATGATGTGTATCAGAATGCCACAGAGAAGTCTTTCTAACCATATTATGCCAGACTCTTGTGCTGTCTTTGATAGACTATTGTCTTGGTCTCCTCATTTTGTCGGTGTCGCAGCTAAAAGACTTTGAAAGAATACAGAATGAAGGAACTCGGACTGCTCTCGGGTGCACACGAGACACATCCTGTGAGGTTATGCACTATCTCCTGGAACTCCCAGCCATGGTAGAACGTCACAAGATTGTTCAGGTGAAAGCGTATTTGAGAGTCAGCGAGGATGATCAGCATCCATTACATTATAAAGTGGTAAGAACTGTGCGCACACGTCTGCTTAGAGGGACTGAAGGGATGAATGAGGCAGCGGTGACTTTGGCTAAATGCTGTGAAGTGGAAGATATCCGAAAGGGCAGCGAATGAGTCAGCCTCACCAACACACTTGGGCAGTATACTCAAGAGGTAGCAAACATGGATAGAGAATGGCGTGAGTGGCTTGAGGGAGCAGCCAGTGCCGAGGTGCAGAAGCTGGCAGAGGACAACAGGGAACAAGGCAACGTAGTCATTTTCACAGCGTGAGGTCAAATCCGGATGGGCTTTCGGCGCATGAGTCAACGGGGTCATACAGGAGGAGCAGTGAGGCGCTACCAGTATAACCACGTCCAGCATGTACATGGAGATGAAAGTCTCCTCACAGAGGCTCTAAATGGATTAAGGCGACGGAGCATCTAGTCGCCATCCATACAAAGACGGGTTTTATTCTTTGAGTAATGTTAACCCCTAAACGCCAAAATAACGGACACCTTTATGCACCTCTCTTTGCTACGTCCAGTTGCGCTTTTGAATGTTACCCTTTGAACGTAACAACAACATTGAAGTCTCAATATTTCAAGGTGACAACAGGACTTACAAATAAACACACACACACACACACACATACACACACACACACACACACACACA